TTTCAGACTTTCGCTCCTACCCCGAAGATGACTACTCTTCGGGTTCTGCTACACGTAGCGGCTCAGCGTGACTACGAGCTTCACTCCCTCGACTTCTCCACTGCCTTTCTTCAGGGCAGCCTTCACGAGCAGGTCTACCTGCGTCGTCCTCAGGGCTTTACTGGCACCTTCCCCCCTGGGACCCAGTGGCTTCTGCGGCGCCCAGTCTACGGCCTGCGCCAGGCGCCTCGTGAGTGGCACGACACGCTGCGTGCTACTCTTGCTGACCTGCAGTTCTTTCCGTCCTCTGCAGACCCCTCGCTCTTCGTTCGTGCTGGCTCGACTCCGTTCTACATCCTCGTCTACGTAGACGACCTGGTCTTTGCCACAGCTGACAGGGACGCACTGGCCTCCGTGAAGGCAGAGCTGCTGAAGAGACACACCTGCACTGACCTTGGAGAGCTGCGCCGTTACCTTGGCTTGCAGATCTCCAGGGACAGAGCCGCCCGCACCATCACCCTGACTCAGTCACACTTGGTGCGCCAGGTCCTTCAGAGGTTCGGCCTTCAGTTCTCCTCCGCACAGCCCACCCCTCTTCCTCTGGACCACAGACTCTCCGCTCCAGTTCCTGAGGAGTCGGTAGATCCCAGTGGTCCTTACGCTGAGCTAGTGGGTTGCCTCATGTACCTGATGACTTGCACTCGCCCAGATCTCGCATACCCTCTCAGCATCCTGGCTCGTTTTGTGGCCACAGGCAGACACCGACCTCAGCACTGGTCTGCCGCTAAGAGGGTTTTGCGTTATCTTGCAAGTACATCGGGCATGGGGTTAGTGCTAGGCGGACGCAGGCCAGTGGTCCTTACTGGACACACAGACGCTTCTTGGGCAGACGACGCCGAGACGCTCAGGTCTTCCCAGGGCTACTGCTTTAGCCTTGGCTCAGGTGCTGTCTCGTGGAGAGCTACCCGCTCCTCGTCGGTTGCCCAGTCCAGCTGTGAGGCTGAGATCTACGCCGGTGCCATGGCGGCACAGGAGCTCCGCTGGCTGACCTTCTTGCTCACTGACTTAGGTGAGCGGCCTAGCTCTGCCCCGGTCCTGTACGCTGACAATAGGGCCATGATTCTCCTGTGTCAGGAGCCTCGACTCGAGGGCAGAGCGAAGCACATCCAGCTGCGGTACTTCCTCCTGCGCGAGCTACAGCAGCGGCGCCAGGCTCGCGTAGTACACTTGGCCTCCGGTGCCAACACAGCTGATATCTTTACGAAGGCGCTTGCGCCTAAAGATCATCAGCAGCACTGTTGTTAAGAACTTAGGATGCTAGGTCCCTAAAGTTAGGACACTAGCTTAGCTAGGATAGGAGCAAGGCCGCCATGGAACGGCGCTAGGAAAAACGGATCTAGGAGTAGGAGGAAAGTCGAGAAGAAAGAGAGTTGGATTAGGAAGAGAAGGGAGTACAAGGAGGGGTTTGTACCCCCTACAGAAAGGTTCAGTAGCAACCTACCAAGCCTATATAAAATTATAACTTATATAATTTTAACACACCCCCTAGGCTGGGTAGTGTCAAGCCCACTCACACCCCCACACCCGCACCCAACCCACCCCCTAACCCCGCACACCCTCAGGCTCGTGCTTAGCCGGGTATCTGACCCTCAGGCAAAGCGTTGACACACCCCCGTACACGAGGCAGCCGACGGCGTCTAGGCGGGTCAGCGACAAGCAGCCGCGAAGCTCTGGCTCAAGGCGGCTGGGTCGCCGACGACAGGCGGCGACTGCCGCGGCTGAGGGCTCTCGGCGATGTGGCAACGTCCGGGCAGAAGACAGCAGCTGCGACAGGAGGAAGGGAAGACGCAGGGGGAAGGGAGAATGGGGGGGGGGGGGGGGGGGGGGGGGGGGGGGGGGCGAGTCTTCAGCGTCGCGCCATAAATGGCGCGGCGCTTACAGGCGGGACGACGGCGTCCTGGCAGGGGGCGACGGGGCCGGGCAGAGGGCGACGGGGCCAGGCAGGGCGCGACGGGGCCGAGCGGGTGCGATGAGGCCAGGCAGGGCGCGACGAGGCCCAGGAGGGGCGCAGCCGCGGCGTCGCGCTGACGTCGTCCCGGTCGCGTGTCGAGACGGCCGCGGCAGGACGGCGCAGCCGGCGAACAGACGACGACGCCACAGCGTGACGCCGCCGCGGCCGCCATGGCAGCGTCGATGCCGCAGCGGGGCGTCGACGCTGCGACTGCAGAACGACGGCCCGACTCCGCGGCAGCGCGTCGGGCCGGTCGCGGCACGACGCGCCCAGTGGCAGCGCGACGTCGCCACTGCAGCAAAACGCGGCCGCCATGGCCGCTGGAGTGAATGAGGGTGAGGAGTAAATGGCGGAAGCGAGAGGAGGCAGTCCAGCAGGAAGGATCTCCTGCTCTGATACCATGTTAAGAAATTAGGATGCTAGGTCCCTAAAGTTAGGACACTAGCTTAGCTAGGATAGGAGCAAGGCCGCCATGGAACGGCGCTAGGAAAAACGGATCTAGGAGTAGGAGGAAAGTCGAGAAGAAAGAGAGTTGGATTAGGAAGAGAAGGGAGTACAAGGAGGGGTTTGTACCCCCTACAGAAAGGTTCAGTAGCAACCTACCAAGCCTATATAAAATTATAACTTATATAATTTTAACAACTGTTTACAGCTTGGTCTGGTTCCTGTAGTCTCTCACTTACTCGGGCCTTGACTTTGTACTGTCGTATATATATATATATATGTATACACTCAGACTGGACTTGTGTCCTCTCACAGTGGTTGGACTAGTAGTGCCGCCCTGTACTCGTTCTTGCCTTATCTGTACTCCTTCTGACTGGTCTTTTAGACCCTTGTCTCAGAGGCTGGACTAGTAGTGCCACCCTGAGCTACTTGTCTAGAACATTCCCCTATGCAGTCCAGGGGGTGTGTCAAACATGTGTAGTTATTATGTTTGTATAGACTGTATAGGGTCACCTTCTAGAGAGTACAACATTTAGGTATATGTTTGTGTACTCTCTCTCTCACATTATTAAAATTCTAGGTTTGATAACCTACACGTGATACCATGTTAAGACTAGAAAGAATGAATAGAAGAAGGGAGAACAGGGGAGATATAGCATTTGGGTTGTACCCACTAAGAACATACGCTATCTAGCCAATAACTTCTACATAACAATATATGTATAAGTTGACAGTACTATCAAACATATTTGTGTATGTTTAGTAGACTACATAGGGTCTTGCCATAGAGTTCAACCCACTAACTATATACCCCTGTATACTCTCATTCTAGTCAACACTTCTAACTTTGAGACGTACCCTCTAAGAGTACGTACCTCTCTAGCTTATAAGACATATACAAAATATGGTTAACAGACACTCCATCGTACTAGTACGACACTTCGTCCACTCATTCGGTGGGCTAGGCAGGATGTTGTGGAAGTAGTCATTGGGAAGCTCCGGTCCAAATGTCCATCAGCATGACATGGATTGCACTCGTGTCAAGCTTCAGACCAGTCAAAGAAGGTCCTTCAGCATGTGATACAGCAGTCTGATCCACTCATCCGGCGGCCCTGGCAGGCAGTAGTGCAAGCAATCCCTGGGCGGATCCAGGTGCCCATCTGGTCTCAGCACCGTCATCGGGTCTACATCCAGAAATACCCCTCCCACTCCCTCCACCAGCTGCTTAGCCACGGCATTTTGAGCTCCGAAATCACCCCAATGATAGGGCAGTTTCATCGGGTTCTGCCGCTTTCTAAGAGGCGTCTTTAGCCGGTCACAGTGGGCATGACCGGGTGGGGTGCTGCGGTAGATAATGAGCAGATCAGGAGCAGCTGCTCGCACTATACTAAGAGTCTTGTTTAGCTGAGGGATGAACTGGCTGTCCCCTCTATAGTGCGCCCCACGGTTTATCACAAGAATGGATGTTCCTGTACCTGGCTGAATCTGGTCAAACCAGGGTATGGAAACCTGCCCAGGAAAAATAACTACGGGATCAGTTCCCGTGCTAAGAACATCGTCTCTTATGTGCACAATGGACGCATTTCCCGCCTTAATTTCCGCGCATGTCATCAGCTTCGGTCGTTTCGCCAGCTCAGCGTTCTTAGTCCTCCCCTTGCAATACTCAGGAACCAAATCTTCAGTCGGAAACTTCCCAGGACCTTCCATGGCTGCTGTTGAGGCAGTCTGCTGCTGCATTAGGTGGTTCCTCAGGGAGAAAAAGGACATCCCACTTATAGAGTCACCCACTATGAGCATCCTCCTCCCTTCAAGCAATTCTACTATCTTTCTCCCCTCCAACTCCTCCCACTTTCCGCACTTTTTATGCGGTAGCCACCTATACTTCGCCTCTTGCCTCACCCGCCAATCCCCTGCGGGCCGCCCCTGTAGCACCACCTGATCCGCTTCCCCACGTGCCACGTGGCCTGTGTGCTCTGCATCCACCGTCCACGCCGCGTCGCACTGCCACCCGCCCCAGCGATCCGACGGCGTCCAGGGGAGCAGCCGCGGCGCGGGGTCGAGGCGCCATGCGCCGTGACTCGCCAGGCACGCGTGGCGCGCCTTGAAGGCTTTAAGAGACTGAGGAGACACGATGGACGAGCCGGGAATCAGTGCGGCTTTTTGGCGGGCTTTGTTAACTGGAGCTCGCTTGTCGTTCGTCCTGGGATCAGTTGGGGCCGCTTTCTGCTGCACCTGTTGTTGACCCGTTTGCCCCTGTCGACCCTCCTGCATAGCAGTATGCTCATCTTGCTGTCCTTGACCTTCTCGTCCCTCTCCCCCCTGACCCTCCTGAATCTTCTGACTCTGCTGATCCTGCTGATCTTGTTGACGCTGCTTCCCCTTTTCAGACGGCCACTTGGCTGCAGGCAGCGGGGGCTGTCTCGCAGCTGACGGTTTTCCTGATTCCGCATGTTCTGTCGTTGGCACTCGGCCGTCCATTCCGTCCATTCCGCCGTCTATTCCTCCGTCTATTCTGCCGCCTGTGCCGCGGCCTATTCCGCCAGTTAATCCGCCGCCTGTGGCGGGCTGCAGTGAGTCGTTGCCGCCGCTGGTTGCGTAGGAGACGAGGAGGAGTAAAGCGACAGCAGCGATGGATTGAATGCACACAACGGGCGACCGGACGGGAATTGTTGTGCTGACGTGGCTCGTGCTGCTGACGTGGCTCGCGTTACTGACGTGGATGGCACTGCTGACGTGGCTCGTGCTGCTTGCGTGGCTGGAGTCGGCGACGACTGCGCTGCTGGTGACAAGTGGCGGCTCGTCATGATGTACGAGACGGTAAGATTGGTGGCTAGTTGTGTGATGGTGTTGCGACGGCGGCATGGTAGATTAACTACTAACGACCCTCGCAATGGAACTCTATCGGCTCAATCATCCTACAAGGAAAATCGCGAGTGGCGATTCGCGGCTAGCAGTTGCGTCTTGTGCCTCTAGAAATCTTATGTATGAAGGAGAGGAGCTACAAAGGAACGAAAGGGACCGGACCCGAGGGCAGCTCAGTGCTCACGCAATGCTGAAGCTCTTCAGAATGAAAGGGACCACTTGGTTCAGTCGGGGGTATACGTGGGAGTGGAAGAGAGCTGGAAGAAGCAGCCGAAGAATCCGACAATGCGAGATGATCTCGCTCGAACGGAGCAGAGCAGGAGGCGGGGGAGGTGGGTAGGTTGTTGGGCTGTGCGGTGGGAGGGGAGTACTGTGTTTCAGGGATGAATTTTGATAGAAAACCCTGTTCTGCAGGCCCGTGTTGTAATGGTTAGGTAAGTACAGCTCTGTCTCATTCAAACTCGCACCAAGAACAGGGCGATTTTCACGGAGCCACTGGTCTGTGAAATCGTTCTGCTTCTAGGTGCGAGTTCGAAAACCCCGTGGTGGGCAACTGAATGGCCGTAGCATCATGCAAGGCAAAGCAACTGGGGTCAGTTGGTGGTTCAACCTTGCTTTGTCACGCATTTTATTGAAACGCGCCCTCGGGTTTGATAGAGTCGCTGGCATCATCAGAGCTAGCAAGCTGTCTCGGTTCAGGATGCCGGCGAGGCGAGTCGCGGCCAATTCTGGTTCCAGAGAAGCTGATTGGACGTGCGGTCTGGGTTTTAAGTTTTTATTGAGGTCTTAAAGCGAGAGGTTATAATAGTGACCCCTCTTTCTAGTTGGGCCCAACTAGAAACGACCCAACATTGAATATGTTTTTGGAGGGGCAGGCAGCAACCCGCGTTTTTTACCAAGCTGTAGGCCACGAAATTGAATTGCACTTGCGACATTTCGCACTGGCGATAGATTTTACGACCACAGATTCGCGCAGTTAGCATTTCGACCAATCGGGGCCCAGCCTCGTTTTTGCCGGAGTAGTGAACCTTGTCAAACATGTTTAGTTATCATGCTTGTATAGACTGTATAGGGTCATCTTCTAGAGAGTACAACAGTTAGGTATATGTTTGTGTACTCTCTCTCTCTATTCATCAATTTCACTGTTTGATATGGTATCACGCGTAGGTAGGATCCCCCCCCCCCCCCCCCCCCCCCTCACGCTTCCGCTCGCCCCCTAGCTGGGCCCCGTCGTGCTCCTAGCCCCGTCGCGACCCTCCCTAGCCCCGTCGCGACCCTCCCTAGCCCCGTCGCGCCCCTTCCTGGGCCCCGTTGCGCCCCTTTCTGGGCCCCCGTCGCGCTCCTCCCAGGCCTCGTAGCGCCCCTCCTGGGCCCCATTGCGCTCCTCCCAGGCCCCGTCGCGCCCCTTCCAGGGCTTCGTAGCGCCCCTCCAGGCCCCGTCGCGCCCCTTTCAGGGCTTCGTAGCGCCCCTCCAGGCCCCGTCGCGCCCCTTCCAGGGCCTGGTAGCGCCCCTCCAGGGCCCCGTCGCGCTCCTCCCAGGCCCCGTAGCGCCCCTCCTGGGCCCCATTGCGCTCCTTCCAGGCCCCGTCGCGCCCCTCCCTAGCCCAGTCGCGCTCCTCCCAGGCCCCGTAGCGCCCCTCCTGGGCCCCATTGCGCTCCCCCCAGGCCCCGTCGCGCCCCTACCTGGGCTTGGTAACGCCCCTCCAGGCCAAGTCGCGCCCCTACCCATCCCCGTCGCCCCTGCTCGGCCCCGTCGCCCCTGCTCGGCCCCGTCGCCCCTGCTCGGCCCCGTCGCGGCCTATCGGCCGCGTGGCGCCCGCCCGGCCCCTGTCGCGGCTGCCCGGCCCCTGTCGCACCTGCCCGGCCCCTGCTCGCCCGCCCGGCCCCGTCGCCCCTGCCCGGCCCTGCTGTGGCCTGCCCGGGCCCCGTCCCTGCCTCCCGGCCCCGTCGCCGCCGCCCGGCCCCGTCGCAGCCGCCCGGCCCCGTCGCAGCCGCCCGGCCACGTCGCAGCCGCCCGGCCACGTCGCAGCCGCCCGGCCCCGTCGCCCCTGCCCGGCCCTGCTGTGTCCGGCCCGGCCTCGTCCCTACCGCCCGGCCCCGTCGCAGCCGCCCGGCCCCGTCGCAGCCGCCCGGCCCCGTCGCAGCCGCCCGGCCACGTCGCAGCCGCCCGGCCTTGTCGCTGCCGCCCGGCCCCGTCGCCGCCGCCCGGCCCCGTCGCCGCCGCCCGGCCTTGTCGTGCCTGCCCGGCCCCGACGCACCTGCCCCGGCCCTCCATACTTCCTGGTACTGTCCCCCGTTCCCCGCACCACTTTGCACCCTCCTGCACTTTCCTGCCCCGCCTTGCATCGCATTGCACCTCACTGGATCGCACTGACCGCACTGCACCGCACTGGACCGCACTGCACCGCACTGCACCGCACTGGACCGCACTGCACCGCACTGCATCGCACTGCACCGCACTGCACTGTCCTCCACTGCCCCTCATGGCTGCTGAGCTTCGTTTTGATGTTGAGGGTCAGCCTCTGGAGTTCGAGGCGTGGTTGGCTGACCTTCGCCGCCACCTCACTGGCCAGCGGCAGGACGGCCACCCGCTTTCTGCACACCTAGACGGTATGCTCCCCTGCCCTGACCCCCCTGCTGTGCTGCCCGCTGATCCCACGCCCGCTGAGCGCGAGTCCACTGCCGCTGCTGCCCTTGCCCGCTCTGTCTGGCTTTCCCGCGATGCCCTTGCTCAGCTCGCCATTAGCAATGCCCTCCCCCCCACTGAGCGCCCTCGCTTTAGAACCATTCCTACCGCCCAGGCCTACCTCGATGCTGTCATCAAGCGCTATTCTACCCCTCCTGCTGCCTCAGTGGGTCGCCTGATCCTTCCCCTGCTCTTTCCTGACCTGGCGTCTTTCCCCACTGTCTCTGACCTCGCTGCCCACCTGCGCTCGATAGATGAGGCCTGGCGCGCTGCCTGCACTGATGCTCAGCTTAGAGTCCACCAGCCTCCCATGACCTCTACCCTCTACCTCCTTGCCACCCGCCTACCTGACCGCCTTGCCGCCGCCCGCGACCAGTTCCTTAGCATCCACCCTGCTGCTCTCACCCTCACCGACTTTGTTGACACCCTGACTGCCATAGAGACTCGTCACCGCTCCATAGCCCTGGCGAGCGGTACAGTACCGGTCCCTATCTTTCAGGGTTGTGCCCCCGCTCAGTGTACCTTCTCCGACGGCTCTGTCGCTGTGGCTGAGACTGCTGCTGCAGTGCAGTCCCGCTCGGCGAAGGGCCGCCGCCCCAAGGTTGGGAGCGGCGGAGGCGGCGGGGGTGCGGGTGGGGGTAGTGGTGGAGGCGGGTCGTCCGGTGCCGGTGCGGACGTGGGGACCCTGCCCGGTCCAGCTGCCCCGCTGCCTCCACAGTTGCAGCAGCCGCAGCAGCAGCAGTCGCCGCAGCCGCAGCCTTCGCAGCAGCCGCAGCAGCCGCCGCAGACGAGGCAGGCGAGTACTCTCCCACCTGGGTGGCCTGGAGCTGGTGGTGGTCGTGCGCGTGGTGGTGCACCGGGTGGTGGTTCTGGAGGCGGGCCCTGTCAGTACCAGATCCAGACCGGTCCTCGCCGCGGCTTCGTTTGCGGTAAGATCGGTCATTCTACTCCTCGCTGTTTTCGTCGCCTGGACGACCTGTTCCGCCAGCGCTTTGGCCCGGCGCCCGACCTCCCGGACTGGCACAGCTTGCTTAGGCGTAGCATTAGGATTTTTGACTTGGACATGGATGCCATTGTAGCGGCCTTGCATGTGATGTATGCTGATGACTCTAGTGTGCTTCCCTCTTATTACCCCGTGTTGCCTAGTGTAGCGGTGCCTAGCGTAGACTCCCCTGCTGCGTCAGGCGTAGGATCTCCTGCTTTGCTTAGCCTTGGTGCTTCCACCGCTTCACTGCTGCCTCGCGCGACTGCTGCGCTTTCCTTCACCTTGGACTCTGGCGCCTCCCGGTGTTTCTTCCGCGACTCCACGACGCTGACGCCGCTGCCTGTTCCCGCTGCAGTTACTCTTGCTGACCCCTCCGGTGGTCCCGTCGTTGCCCGCAGTTCCACCTCCCTTCCCTGTCCGGCGGTTCCTTCGGGCACTCTCACAGGTCTGCATATCCCCTCGTTCTCCAGGAACCTAGTTGGTGTCGGCTGCCTCCAGGACCTTGGCGTCACCACTACGTTCCCTGGTCACGAGCGGTATGCTGTCTGTACCGAGGCCGCCACTGGTGCCCCCCTTACCACTTTCCCCCGGGACCCGGTGTCCGGCCTGTTCACACTTGACACCGCGCCGTCCCCGGCTGGGTCTTCCCCCCCGGTAGCTGCGTCCACCCAGGTTGCAGCCGCGTGCTCCTGTCGGTCCCTCACTCACCCGACTCTCCTTTGGCACCACCGCCTTGGTCACCCTGCACTCCCACGTCTGCGTCACATGTCCCAGCACGGTCTCGTCCTTGGTCTCCCCGGTTCGTTCCCCGAGTTTCCCTCCTCCCCCGCCCCACCGTGCACGCCTTGTGTCGAGGGCCGGCTCCGCCGTGCCCCTCACTCCTCCTCTTTTCCCCCTACCACCGCACCACTGCAGACTCTGCACATGGACGTCTGGGGCCCAGCCCCGGTCCATGGGCCGCGTCGCGAGCGCTTCTTCCTAGTGCTTGTCGACGACTTCACGCGCTACACCACCGTCTTCCCCCTGGAGCGGAAGGCCGACGTGCCTGACGTTCTCATCCCCTGGCTTGTCTCTGCTCGTGTCCACCGCGGTCTCCCTGCCTTGCGCCTTCACTCCGACCGGGGTGGCGAGTTTGCCTCAGGTGTCCTTGGTCGCTTCTGTCGTGCGGAGGGTATCACCCAGACGTTTACCCTGCCGGACTCCCCGCAGCAGAATGGGGTCGCTGAGCGACGCATCGGTTTGGTCATGGAGGTGGCTCGCACCTCCATGATCCACGCCGGTGCACCCCATTTTCTGTGGCCGTTCGCTGTGCGCTACGCCGCTCACCAGCTTAACCTGTGGCCGCACCCCCAGCGGCCGCAGGTTTCGCCGACCCTTCTGTGGACCGGGTCCCCTGGTGACGCGTCTGTGTTCCGCGTCTGGGGCTGCCTTGCTCACGTTCGTGCCTCTGGCACGGACAAGCTCACTGCCCGCACCCTCCCCTGCGTCTTCCTCGGTTTCCCCCTTGACGCGTCCGACTGGCACTTCTACC